GAAACCAAATCGCACGACAAGAAAGAATAAATGTGAAGTTTTTCCTAATTATGTAGCCTCTGGGGGATAAATACAGACGTCTCCGTACCGATCCCTCAGACTCTACTAAGCTTGTTTGTGAACTGTGAGACCCCTGTAATCTGAAGCTCTAATACTGACTTGTCATGAACCGGATTTTCCCACCGTTGGAAGTCGTGATGGCGCCTACTAATGTGAGCTAGGCAAGCCGACTGTTTGAACAAATTACTTTTTTACAAATTTTATATTCTTTAACAATTATAAATCCATAACGTGTAGACAACGAAAATTACAATAAGCGAAAGAAATGCAGTAAACTATCTAAAATATATATCTAATACAACTGTTTGAGCCTGGACCACCCAGAACTGATGTCGCAGTTTCACAGACGATCTAATAATACTGCATACAAAGTCTGAAAGATAAAAGACACACTATTTGAACTAAGTAAATGAAACAGTGGTAAAGGGATAGAGGGAGACGCCAGGGCCTGTGGACGCCTACAAGATTACCTTGGATCTCTGCATGGACTGAAGGTAGCCACCCAATCTACTATCCAAAAGTTGTTGCTCCGGGATCTGCACACAGTACAGAGTGTAGTATCAGCACAAACGACCCCATGTGTTGGTAAGTGCCTAGCCTAACCTCAGCAAAGTAGTGACAAGGCTAGGACCAGACTACCAGATAAGCCTGTGCAGTTATATATTATGCAGCAGAAAATAAAACAGGAATAAACAAGTAAAGATGGGAGGGGGTACATGCTGCGGAGAAATATCACTACCAATAGTAAATTAAGAGAAAGGCATAAGGGCAATCTAGAATTTACAGCGAAACAATAAGGACTCGCAACCAATCCATAAACACTTTGCATTCTCAATTGTTACGGCGCGCAATTCGATCCCAAAACATAATAACACTGTTGCGGCGTGCAATCCGATCCATACTATTTATCACTGTTGCGGCGTGCAACCCGATCTAATTATATTATTGTTGCGGCACCCGATCAAAATATAATATTATTGCTGCGTGCAACTCGATCCAAATATAATATTGTTGCGGCGTGCAACCCGATCCAATTATAATATTGTTGCGGCATGCAACCGATCCAATTATAATATTATTGTTGCGCGCAACCCGATCCACATATACAGTTCAACACTAATCACAATAAGAGTCCCAGCAAGGGATCAATAAAATAAACAACACTATCATGGTAAGGGAATCGGCAGTATAAGTAAACACGTCCTGGCAAGGAAAAATCAGCTATAACCAAACTTGTTCCAACATCTAAATACCTAAACTAGCACCAATACTCAATCATAAGTAATTCCCACGAGAGTAATCATAATCCGTGCTCAATATAGAGAATCAACAACTTAGGCATTTGTAGTATTTATTAAGAACACAACAATTTCAATTTAAGACTCACTGTCATGCTTGACACCATTGTATAGATACTCGTCACCATGCCTATACGTCGTACTCAACAAGTAACATGTAGCAAATAGGACACAACTCCTAATCCCTCAAGCTAAGGTTAGACCAAACACTTACATCGATGTCACGAACACAATTCAAATCTCAACTATCGCTTTACCTCTTGATTCCACCACCAATTCACTCGTTTCTAGTCACAAGTTACTTAATTACATCAATAAATACTAAATGAATCAATTCTAATGCATGAAAATAAGTTTTACAAAGTATTACCCAAAAAGTCAAAAATTGCCCCCGGGCCCACATGGCCATAACCCGAGGTTCGAACCAAAATCCGATTACTCATTCCCCCACGAACTCAAATATATAATTTGTTTTGAAATCGGACCTCAAATCGAGGTCCAAATCCCCAATTTTTGACAAACCTAGGTTCTACCCAAAACACTCAACTTCCCCCATGAAAATTATTGATTTTGAGTTGAAATCATGTGAAAAGATGTTAATGATTGAAGAAAACGAGTTAATATTGACTTACAATCGATTTGGAAGAAGAGTTGCCTTTGAAAAATCGCCCAAGAGTATTTTGGTTTTGAAAGAGTGTGAAAAATGAAAGAATTTTGGCTAAGTTATAAAATTGCAGGTTTCAGATGTCGCAATTGCGAACCCTAGACTTCTGCTAAGTTCGCATTTGCAAAGTGACCCTCACATTTGCGAGGTTGGAATTGCGAACAAACGATCGCATTTGCGATAACAGGCCCAAAAGGGGTGTATCGCATTTGCGAAGGAAAATCTCGCATTTGCGAGGAAGGGCTGGCCTGGGCTGTTTCGCATTTGCCACTCAGCCTTCGCATTTGTGAACTCGCATTCGAGCTAGGCTTCGCAAATGCGAAGCCTACAGGCCTGCAATGAAATAGCTGAAACCTGCAATTTCTCAAGTCCAAAATCCAACCAGTGGCCTATCCAAAACTCACCCGAGCCCTCGGGGCTCCAAACCAAACATGCACACCGACCTAAAAGTATCATACGGACTCGCTCATGCATTCAAATCACTAAAATAATATCAACAACTATGAATTTAACATCAAAATCATGAAATTTCTTAAGAACTTCAAAATTTCCAATTTTCTCAAATACAGTCCGATTCATGTCATTTCAAGTCCGTTTCTTACCAAATTTTACGGACTCATTTTAAATCACATATATGACTTGTACCGGGCTCCGAAATCAAAACACGGGCCCGATACCCTCAATTTTTAACGCATTTCATTTCTAAAACTCATAAATAATTCCAGAAAATAATTTTCTTTAAAAAATATATTTCTTAGGCTTGGGACCTCGGAATTCGATTTCGGGCATACGCCCGTGTCCCAAATTTTTCCAAAATCACGAGTCCTGGTCCATTTACCTAAAATGTTGATCGAAGTCAACTTAAATCTATTTTAAAGTCAAAATTTATCATTTTTCACAGATTTTTCACATATTGGCTTTCTGGCTAAACGCCCGGACTGTGCACGTAAATCGAGGTGATGCTAAAAGAGGTTTTTAAGGCCTAGGAACGCAAAATTTATTTTAAAACAAGTGATGACCTTTTGGGTCGTCACAACTACGTAAAGTCAAGAGATAACGCACTACAACAAATTTGATTATTAGTGATGAATTATTTTGTCACCCAAAGTTTATTTTTCGTCACCAAAAATTTTGTGACGAAAGTTTTATTGTCAATATTTCATCCTTAAAATACTGTCACTAATAGTATACAAAGACAACTTTGTGTTTCGTCACTAAATAAAATTATATTAACTACAAAAAAAATTTCGTCCCTAAATATACAGTATTTATTACAAACTTGTTTGTCACAAAAAATATTTAAAAATTCGTAGTTAATAGTGTAGTTTCGTCACTAAAAAGCGCATTAATGCCGACAAAACTACCTCATCACTAACTATTTAGTTTAATTAATGACTGATAATAGGCAATATAGACGATATTTACACTCTAAATGTACCATGCTTTATTGTTGTTTTAAAGGCTAAATAATAACAATATACTCTAGTTGGTGTTCTTTTGCTTCGCAGGGACTAATCCAAGTTAGGAAGAGCCTATGGAGTGTTTTGGAGTCAATAATATGGATAAAAGGCCAATCAAGAAAGCACCCAAACGAAATTAAGCAAGGAAGAGGCAAGGGAGGATTGAGCTGGAGGCCACCGCGACTGCGGTCGATCGCGGCTGGACTGCGGTAGGCCAAGGAAGCGAGGCAGAATGTTTGTGTTTCACCGCGGTCGCGCCGCGTTCTACCGCGGTCGCGGTCGACTGTGTAACTGCCCAAAAATTGTGGGACTAAAGTGTAAATTGGGGAAAACTTATCCTAACCCCTTATAAACTCAACAAACTCGTCCAAGCAAAGGTTAAGTTTGTTTTTAGACTGATTTGGAGGAGAGAACAAGTGTGAGAAGAGCAATCAACCATTAGAGATTTTCAATCTTCTCTTTGTTATTTCAATTGCACATTATTAATACTTTTGTAGTTTTATCTTGCTTTGCTATGAGTATCTAATTCCTTGGTCTAGGGTTTTGATGGAACCTGTTGATGATGAACTTCTTGTTATATTAATATAGTTTGCCCAGTTTAATCTCTATTTGTTCAACTACATTCTTGTTGTAGTTAATTGATAAGATCCTCAATTAGCTGTGCCTATTTAGTATGTATTACTCAGGAGAGAGTGCATATTTAGGTAGTTGTTGAACATCACCACTCCTAAAGTATATGAGGGATCAATAACTGAGGGTTTAAAGACGAGATTAGGGATAACAAAGCCTTGGGTGTGATCTAAAGTGAGCTGTAATCAAGGCCAGCTAGCGTAGCTCGGGAGAGTGTGTTTAGTAAATTGTCGTAATTACTCGGGAGAGATTTACGGTAATAAGAGTGCTCATGATCGATAGAGATAATTATGCAAATCTATATGAAACATAACCGGAAGGGATTCCATCAATAGGGGAAATCACAACCTTAGATCCTTCTCTTAATTGTTTACAACTTAATCATAGTTAGTCTTTAGCTACTTAATTGCAATCAGTTATAGTTAATAGAAATATCCTCAATTATTATTCAAAACGTTTGGGAAGTTGATTCCGTAGAATTTAGTGAGTCTAACAAGAGTAATTGATAGGTTAATTCCTTGTGGGTTTGACTCTGGGCTAAATACTCAGATTACATTTGCAGCGTCCGCGTGTCCTTTTTATAAGGCATAGTTGGGTGTGATCAGTGACGATGCAATTTTGTCACTAAAGACTATCTTTTATAGACAAAAAGTATTTCGTCCCTAAATAGATAAATTAGTGACAACTTAGCTTTTTAAAAAAAAAATTTAATGGAAAACTATTATTTAGCCGCAAAAAATACTGCTTTCAATGATAAAATAAAATTATTACTATAATAATCATGATTAATGACAATTACAATTGACATAAAGTAAAGTAAATTCGTAGTCAATAAAAAAGTGAATCTTGAGTAAATTAATCGGAAATAATATAATAAAACATACAAGGTAACAACAAAATTTTGCGCTCATGATCATAAAATTAAGAACTATACCATATTACAATAATATCTCTTACAAACTCCTAAAACTAAAACATACAAATAAAGTTTATCTAAAGCGAAGTCTAATCAAAATACATGAGTATTGATTATAAAAATAAAAATAAAAAAGTATATTGCTTCTATAGTATGTTGCTTCTCCAAATGCTAATGTGTGTCTAATAATTTTCATCTTCATATGCCTGAGAATAGGAAAAAAAAAATTACAATTTTAGTCCATACTTAATGATCACATGATTTAAAAAACATATATTTTAAATGTTAATTATAAATCAAATATTATTTAATAAGAATAATAGAACGAGAAATAAGCAGTGATAAGATACTTATTCCAGTTCATTGGCGGTAACCACATTTAGATTAAGAGATAAAATTTTGAGCTGTTAACCTCTCAAAAATTAGAGAACAATAGACAAAATTTCTTTATACCCTTACAATAAAATTAAAATAAATAAAAACACACTAATACATACATGTCATATGCCATCCGGAGATACCCAAATTTTTAATGCTCTAAATACATATCGAAAGAAAGTAGAGTAGATTATATACCTTGTCTTGAAATGCCCATCATCCCATATTGGGTCTTCTATGGTATTAAATCAAGAAATAATTTTGGAGAATAGACACACACATACATAGAGATTGAGAAAGAGAGAGAGAAGCAATATATTGATAGTGAAAATGATAACAGATTTTACTTGGGCAAGAGTTTGATTGGGGGTTGAAGATCTCATAAAGAGATATGAGGAGGAAAATTAGGGAGAACTAAAAATAACGGTAGTAGTCAACTAAAAGAGGGATTTGGGGAAAAGGGAGGGAAATTTACCGCTACTTTTTTCGTGAACTTTGAAGAAAAAATTGAAACCAAAAAAAGTTGCAAGAAAATGAAGTATTTTATTTTATGGCAAAAAGAAATTAAGTATTTTATCAATGATAAAAAAAATTCACTGTAATAACTATGAAAATAATTTGTTGTAAATTTATCTACACTTTGAATATATTGTATTACCACAAAATACCACAAGATTAAAATTTTTGTTAACAAGTAGCAATTCATGATTATTATCATCTATACCAATAATCAAATTAAATTGCTATCATTTATTAAAATTAACAAAATATTACGGACGTTGTGGGGAAAAAAATTGTTGTTGTCAACTCCTAAAAAAAAGCTAAAGCTAATAAGTGGCAATGTAAAGTCTAAAAATAACCAATATTGAGTTAATATTTTATGATAAATAACTTAATATAAGTTGTAATTTGTTGGACAAATGCAAAGATAAAAAAAATTAATGATAACTCATTTAGAATATATTTTGTCTTCTACTATTTCATCCGTATTATTTTAAGTCTGTATTTTTACCAATTCGTTTCTTAATACTATATTGGAACTAATGTTACTAATTAAATGAATATTCATAAATATTAGAGCAATAATTAAATGATTATTTTATATATTGTGAACTTTATTTTTGAAGGATAAAAAGGCGAACGACATTTCGCTAAGGACCTTTTTACTTTTAATATATTATAGATAATATAGTTAGAGCCCGTTCGGATTAACTGATTGTAAATAACTGATAAGCTTGAAGTACTGAAAAGCTTTCCTAAGTGCTGGAACTGATTTTTAAAATAAGTATTTACGTGTTTGAATAGAAGTGCTGAAACTGATAATAAGCAGTTGATGTGTTTGATAATAAGTGATGATAAATTATTCTTTTGTTAAAAATGACTAAACACCCTTGAATTCTTTTTCAAAAGATTATAAATTTTTAAAAAAATTGTAAAGAAAAAAATTAACAACGAATATGGAATGAAGAAAGTTGGAAAATTTATTTTGGGAAAAAGTTTTTTGTGAATTAGAAAATATTATTAATGATAAACTAGTAAAAGCGTTGGTCAAACTAAAAGTGCTTATAAGCTGGAAAGTCATAAGTTGGGGGTGACCAACTTATGGCTTATGGCTGATTTTAGCTTATAAGCACTTGGCTTATAAGCACTTAAGGTGTTCACCAAACGCATAGATAAGCCAAATATGCTTATAAGCCAGTTTGACCAGCTTATAAGCTTAGCCAAATACCCTCTTAGTCACAAAGCTTTTTCATCACTAAAATAGAACTAATTTTTAAACAAATAATGATTTTCACTAGGTTCCTAAAATATTAGAGATGAAACTAGTTTGTCACCAATAACTTTAAATATTATGACTTATGTTACTAAATAACTAGCGACAATCCATCTTTTTGGTGGAAAACCTGAGTAGATAAAACTATCGCTACGAAATTTTGTTTCTTCAATAAATGTATGTGTGTGTGCATTTAAGTACGACTCTAATTTTTGTTCCAAAAAGTCAATAAATAGTGATGAACTTTTTATGGTACCTAATAAGTTCATAGGTAAAATAAAGATGATACACTGGTCGTCACTAATTTGTTTATGCTATTAGTGACAAAAACTAAGGTTGCAAAAAATATAAAACTTTTAGTGACGAAATTATTTCGTAGCGAAAATATAACTAATTTTAAGACAAACAATTATTTGTCACCAATTGTCTACAACATTAGTGATGAAACTAACTTGTCACAAATAATATTAATTTTGTGGCTAATATTAATCAATATTTGGCGTCAATTCATTTTTTTGTGGGAAACTTTAGTAGACAAAAATTGTTGTCACTAAAAGTATGCGCCTCATGTATTTAAGTACGAAATATAATTTTTGTCACAGAAAATGGACAATTAGTGACAAATTTTCTATTGTAGCTAATATTTTCGTGGTTAAAAATCACATTTGTTGTAGTGACGTGTCAGATCCACTTACAAAAGGCCTATCTAGAGAGACAATTAAAAGATCATCGAAGGGAATGGGGCTAAGGCCTAGGACAAGTCATCATGTCGGTAACTCTACCTAGCAAACTGGAGATCCCAAGAGCTAGGTTCAAAGAGATCAAACAAAGTTATGAATGACGGTTCAACATTGTCAAATAACTCAACACATTCTTGTGATGAAGACAATGTTCAGAAATCAAGGCAAAGCATTAAGGCTTTTTGATAAGTCAATAAAGCTTAAAGCTTTTTAATGATTTGCTAAGTCTGGCAGGATATGACCAGATAGTGTATCTATAGGATTATACGTTTAGAAATTACCTATGTAAGTGTGAAGTGTAAGCCGCTTTAAGGGGAATGAAAGTAAAGGCTTATTCTCTAAGCACTCATGAAACCAGGCGGTGTTCATGGCTGAAACGAACACAACCGTGAGAACCAAAGACGGTTAAGGATTGATTGTGTGACTTGTGGTTGTCTAGGTATACACCAAAGCTCGACAGTTCAAAGATATCAAATTTACTGATTGACCGAGTATATCCGACATAAGTTCACTATGGAAAGTTCAAAGGGAAACATACTTATCCAGATGCGATTAATCCTTACTTGCGAATCACACTATATTTTCATGCATGTTTTTACACATATGCCCATTTCTCATTCATGTGGGGGATTGCGTTTTTCCTTTAAAAGGTGTGAATGGGAAATGGAAGAGGCATCTTTTGGATTGCACCTCTCCATCTCACCCTTGCTTTGTTTATAAATTTAGAGGCTTGGCCTTATTTTTGAGAAATGGAAAATCTGAAAATTTCTCCCCTCTTTTCTACATTGTTGCATTATTTTCTAAATGAATATAAGTGTCAAGTGTGATTTGCTCCGTTTGTTGAGTTCGCTGAAGTTCTGTGATTTCTAGTGTCGCTATCACAGAATAGTTATTTCGTTCTATTCTGGGAGGAATTAATCCATATACCTTGGGCAACAGTGAGGGGATTAAATTTTTTAAGGACACATTATGAATTCAGTGGACTCGGAATTGTTTTACGATTTATTTATTGAACTAACGTCTGTTCGCTTCTCTGATTTTTTTATTTTGAACACCGTAATACCAACAGTAGAGAGACGTCTGACTATAGTTTATGCAGATGTAAGACAAAATTTATGTACCTTAGACAAATAAAATACAAGAAAAAGATAATCTAAACTGCCACTAGTTCGAACAACTGCCACTGGATAACTCCTATGTTTTTTTAAGTCAATGTGGCTTCATTTAAAAATCCATCATCACATACAGTAACTTATCCAGAAAACAGAATATTTTTTTTAAAAAAAAAAAAAACTATAAGTCTTAATCACCGTCAGAATCAATTTTTTTTTGTGTGACATAATTATGGAATATATAATGATGATAAAGTAGAATAAGTAAATTATGAGATAAAGAAACAGAAAATAGATGAAGAATCATATTAGGCCTTCCACTGGTTCTGTTTAGGTATGAACTGGAACTAATTAATATGAATTTTTTTACAACCATTGACTATATAGCACATGCAATGTTTCACATAAATTCCACTAATCAAATAGTCCACTTAATTATTACAATATGTCATCAATGGTTTAGTAAAATGTTATAATGCTTGTCGTCCTCATTCATCTAATGTGAGCTAGCTTCTCATAAATTAATAGAACTTGCTAAAATATTTAATTATAAGTCGTTCTATGGTTCTTGACCAATTAAATAAATAGAAGGTTTCCAAATAAATCGGTGTAGTCGTATATAAATGGCTTTAAGTTCTATGTTCTGATAGTGTTGACCTATAACAATAAAAAAAACTTTTTATGATAAACCTAATAATATGAAGCGGCAGTTATAAGATTTAGACGTCCTGAGTTCTACGCTTAAAATCATATAGGTTATGAAATATATATTTTTTATCTTATTTATATCGTTTTTCACCTCTATACATAAAGTTTGAATAAATCTTTTACTGTTAATGTATATAGTTTAATAAATCTATTATAGATTAATTATAACTGCTTCTTTGTTTTCACAATTCGTATTTCACGTCATAGGTTCGGTTGTTGGCCTGGCTAGGCATCATATCCAGTCGATCACTATTACTGTAAAGTATAGCAATATTATTTGAGGTAATCATGAGCATGTACAAACTAATCAATTCCTTGTAGTAATTAATCACGATATATTAATTTTGAATTATGGGAAACAGAATAAGAATATATTCTCCTAAGACAGTCATCAAAATGGGCAAATGTACGGTATTTGAGAACACCATGTGCCACGCATCTGTAACATAGATTTTGGTTGTTATGTTTCTTAATTTCCTCACTTGAAAAGTCCAACTTGACTTGTGATTGCTTTAATTTATTAATTGATAAATAAATGGAAAAAGAATTAGGGAATATGATGCAACTCATTAATCAGCAACAAATTTATAATTTTGGCTTCAAATTATTCCATGCAAAATGGTTCTGATGAGTATCCAACGAGAGATCTGGCTGTCATAATCATCTAACTTGTCCAAAGAAGTTCAAATTATATTACGTAAAACAAATTTATTTTTGCATATATGTAAATTGTTGGACATAAATTAGTTTTTAGCGTAACAGTAAAAGTAACAGAAACATTTCTTTAAGTTACTAGTTTTAATCATAGGTGGTAATTCTTAATATTTTTTTAATTCTTCTTATTAAAATTTCAGGCTCGCCCACGGACAATAGATACGAAAAGGTTGCACTACAAATACTACACTAGTTGATTTTGGCGTGTAAATAATGAAAACGAAATGATTTCTTTCTCTAAATTGTTTTTTTTTATTTTCTTTATTTGTAATGTTGTGTGGAAACAAGAGGAAAACCCAATGAAAACCATACTAGAATATTAATGTTCAAGATTCTAGGCTCGATTGGTGAT